GCATAATACAATAAATGAAGAGTGTTTTGACGATAACATTCTGTTAAAAATAAATGCTTTTCTTTTCAAGTTTATTTCATCCATATGTAGCTTTTGATAGATTTTTTTAAAGTAATGTTTATAAAACTATCACTGTAGTAACAGCAAGCCAACTAACATAAACCTAAGATCCCGTAGGACGCTAAGGACATTTAGCAGCATTAATATGACCGTGAGACTAAGCAGCTCTACAGGCACATGGGCTCCATGGATTAGTAAACAAAATGTTGTGTGTCTGTTTCTCTAGGATCAAATACAATAAAAGGCACAACTAAACGAATAAATCAAAATCGCCTAAAATTCAGTTTAGAATCACCTTACAAAGGTAAAGGTCAAGCAATGGGAGAAAACTGGGTGAGGACCCTTATCCTTGAGACAGCTGAACTCTGTTTTAGGTAAAAAAGAGGCAGCCCTGCTACACAAATGCCACTCCTGAGTGACATCCTGAGGTGATGTTTTGCTGTGTGCTAAATGGCACCACGGAACACCCGGTGAGGAAGCAGGGGTTACCCAGGACATTGTTCAGTGAATTTGGTCATCCACACTGGGGCTCAGCAGGATGGGCCTGCTGAGGGCACCAAGCCCACACAGGGTCTCCCAAACCGAGAGGTGACAGCGCGAGGATGGCATCAGGCAGGCAGCCCATGTGAGCCACGAGGAGGACCAGAGAGTGGTCTGAGTAACCAGGCTCTCAGCACTGGAAAGATGTGGCAGCCAACAAACTAAAATCTGCCAACGAGGCTGTTCCAGAGAAGACTAGGGAAGCCAGGAGGAGCCCAGAGCCAGGACTGGGACACCAGTGAAAAGAAAGTGCTATTGCAGAAGTTTACTGACAAGAAACAAGATCCGTTCTCAGGAGCAGATGTGGGCACAGCAAAGCCACCCAAGGGTTAACCTGTCACAGGCGCCAGATTAAGTTTCCAAGAACAAGACTGGTACCAGCACCTAAAGTGAGGCACGACTCTCAGAAGGGGATTAAGCAGCTTTGGCTTTGCAAAGAATAGCCAAGCGCTGGGAAAGAGAGCACAGCTAAAATGCAGAGAGGGATTTAGACAGATGGGAAGAGAGGAAAGCATCTCCGATGAGAGGAACCAGATAAGCGCTCATCGCAAACATAGCAGGAAAAGCTCTCTTCCCTCAGCCCAGGGCTCAGTTTATCAAAATTCCTTCCCCATTTTCCTTCATCTGAATGAGGAAATCAGTTTACTGACCTGAATACTTATGAGCTTTATTAAGTTACTTGTTCCCAGAATATTAACTGAAAGAGCATCTCCACTGACACAGGGCTATTTATCCTAGTGACTGACCAATGTGATTATCCAAAAGACCATTCACAGCGACCACGGGACCTGCTGTAAAAATCCTGTCTTTCTCTTAAGCACAAGTCATTTCCAAAATGATAGGTAGCATAAGCTCTAAATCAAAAGGCAAAAGGAGAGGTGACCGAGCATGGTGGTTTTTGTACCCCAAAAAAGAGACAGGCCATTTACCGGAGCCCCTCGAAGATAACTGTGCTGGATCCTGAATGCAGGTAAAGTCAGCCCCTTAGATAATTCACCAAGCCCCTCCTTTTCTCCTTCGAACTAATGCCCAAGAGTAGATCTGTCCTTTCTATAGAGTTCAGGACAAAATACAGTATACAAGTCCTAATATTCAAACATACAAGTAAATCCTTGCACACATGGTTTCATGATGGTATATGCATATTTTTATAAATGTTAATGTAAATTATGAAATGCAGAAAACTTTACTTAAAATTCTTGCACCATTTACCTTTTAAGCAGTGTAATGCTTACTAAAAGACTTTTCCTTGGAAACTAAAGAAGCATGAAGAAGTCAGCCAGTCAACAATCTCAAGTAATTTAAGATAAAAATAGTCCATTTCCTTTAGGAAATCTAGAGACAAGGCTGGGGAGAGAGGAGCTCCTCGTAGTAAGAAGCCGATTGAGGTCTGGGTTGACTGGTGCGGAGGAGAGTCCCAGTCCTCCCACCTGGCACGAGCAGCCCATTCAGCATCTTCTCCCTCCGTCTTCTCTGATGACCACTCTTGGTGCACCTGCCTCCGGCGAGGAACTATACTCAGGCTGAGAGTGCAGCTGAGTGGACCCAGGCCTGACCCCAGTTCCAGAGAGCGGGTAAGAACCACCCAGGAATGAGCTGAAAATTCAGGCCCAGGTCCACAGTGGTCCCCAAAGCTTCCAAGTAATTGTGATTCAGATCTGTTTTGTGGCACACCCTGAGAAACTGATGCAAATGCACTCGCTGCAAACAGATTCTATCCGAGTCTGTGCTGCCACTGGATCCCAACTCCAGGCACATAGTAGGTGTGTTAGTACGCAGTGACCAACTCTGCAACAGGATCAGGGGATGGTGAGGTGATTCCATGGGACGCAGTGGGGGTAACAACAAAGGAGCTACAGAAGCGTGACAGGCAGAGCAGGGACCCCCCCGTGCCCCCGCCAGACACAGGGTAAGTCGGAGGGGGCCGCCAAGGCAGACACCGGGGTAAGAAACAGCAAAGTGTGGGCAGAAACTGCAAGTGTGTGGCTTCACCTTCTCAACCAAAGAAAGAGTTCTGCAGCATCACTGCCCGGCTCTAACCTGAGAGCCCACTTCACAGGAAGGGACTCTCCTACTTCACTAGGGAGGAAGCGGGCCTCAGAGAGGGAAACATGTCACGGGAAATGGAAAGACAGTTCCTCAAAAAAAACATTAAATGACTATGTGACCCAGCAATTCCACTTCCGAATTACACCAAAGAGACCTGAAACAAGGACTCCAGAATATTGGTTACTGCGTCCACGGCATCATTCTTCCCAGGAGCCCAAAGGTGGAAGCCACCAAGTGTTCATCATCAGGGGGCAGATGGACGTGACGTGGCACACACGGTGGACGGTGCAGCTTCAGAACGGAAGCAACGTCTGGCACCTGCTGCAGGTACAGACGACCTTAAAGATGTGGAGCTAAATGGACCAGCGCCAGCGGGGGGGACAAGCGCTGTGAGGTGCAGGTGTATGGGGCACGCAGTCTGAGCCCAGGACAGAAAGCAGGGCCTGGGGTGGGGATGGGGATTTGAGTTTATCGGGCACCAAGCTGCACCTGGGGAAGATGGGGACATCTGGACATGGGCGGTGGTGACAGCAGCAGAACCATGTGGAGGTAAAACCACCACCAAACTGTTCCCTCAACGATAATTAAAACTGTCCCCTTTATGTCAAGTATAGTTTACCACGGTAGAGAAAAAGCACACACACACACACACACACACACACACACACACACACACACGCTATTGGCTGTCCAGGGGTTCAAGTCCAGCTGTGCTTCCTCGAGGAACACTGGGTGTCACCCTCAGCCCCAAAACAAAAGAGCTTGAAAGAAAAGGCCCGGGTTGAGGCTCCCAGCTGCTCCCCCGCCCAGAAACCCCATCACCAATGCCTGGCATCTATCAGCAGCTGTCAGCAGCTCCAGACACATCTGAAGGCTGGAGACAGATCGATCGGCACAAAATGTTAAATGGAAGGAGCAGTGTGACATACGGACCCTGAAAGCAAAGTGATTTTAAAGAATAGTCCTAGACTTTTCATCTCCCCTGAATGCACAGAAATAAAAGCGAACAGTGAGCATATTAAGGACTTCCTGTCTTTCATCACTGCCGCACCATTCCAGATAAATAAGTAAGTGTTACAAGGCGGTAACACCTCATGTATGTCATTGATGACAACGGAGAGTCAACACGGTCACCCCCATCCCTGCGTCAGGATGGGCCAGGTGGCCGGGGCTCAGAGGCGCCATCTCCCGCTGGCCCCGAACCTCCCCATGCCACACAGCGGCGCACACAGAGACAAGCACACTGCCTGGGGTGACATCCAGCCCTTGTTCACAAGCCCTTACGTTCGTCCTCTCTCTAAACAACACAACCCACTCCATTCAAACATGGCCAGGGCCTGCTGTGACTCCATTCCCTGCACCTGCAAATACACAGCCAAGCAAAGGCCTCCGTCCTGTTCATGCGCAGGACGCTGAGTCATTTGGAAACTGCTCCACGTTCAGCTTTTTCGACAGACTGGAGCCACTGCTCTCGCAGTCCAGGCTCCTACAAACTCGGGGTTAATGTGTAACCATGAGATCGGGTAACAGCAGGGCCCTCTTCCCTCGTCTTGCCCAGGGCAGGATGAAAGGCCCAAAGCTGCCTGCTCCGTCTCCTCTGCCCGTGCCTGTTTCTGGAAGGAGGCTCTGTCCTCTCCCCAGCATCTCTGCTGCCGGCACCCGCACTCCCTACTTGTTGCTTCTGCTCTCTCCCATCACCTGTTCCCAGGCAACTTCACCGCCGAGACCCAGGTGCCACGCCTTCCGTCAGTCACCAGGTCCCACCTGCACTTCTCCAACCCAGTCAGCTCCCACCTCTCTCGGAACACACTCTCTCCCGGCCAGCCGCTCAGCACGTCTACCACCGCACAGCAGAAAAATCTCCAAGTTCTAGGGCGGCTACAGCTCGGCAGTCATCAGCCACTTCACCACCACAACGTCTTACTGAATTTTTGTTTTATTTTTTCTATGTAGAAAATCTCAAGTTTCTCAATCTCAGGTTTCCAGAAATCCTATCTTCATGCAACAAAAAATGCATTCCCGCTTGCCTAGCAAGCATGAGGTCCTGGGTTTGATCCCCAGCACCCCAAAACAAATTTTAAAAATGCCTTCACACACACAGATGTCAGGTAGGGAAAAATAAATGTCCTCTACTCACTTGTGTTAAATTGCTGGGGATATGTGAATTAAACTGACAAAAAGTCAAGTAGCAAGAAAAAAGACTTCATTTGCAATTCTAACCCCTCAAAGGGGTGGTTAGAATTTAGAACTTGCACACCTAATTTTGTAAGGGAAATGGTTCTCGTGGGAAAAACAAACAGATTTCCTTTGAAAAGACAAATAGGTTTTCATAGAGCAAGCAAGATAAAAACTCTTGGTGATGTTGGTTTATTCAGGTGCAAGGGAACTGTCTGTCTCCTTGGTGGCCACAAAATTCCCCTGGAGAGGCGGTCCACAGCAGCCGAGTTTCCCTGAAGCTGGTGCCTCTGATCAGGTAAGAGGAGTCCAGGACATCTTCTTTCTGCATCTACTGAACCTTACATGTCTTTCATGTCAACAGGATCTGTATTGGGGTTGGGGTGCAGGTCAGTAGTGGAGCACTCCCCTAGCAAGGCAGGACCCACGGTTCCTACCCCGAGCCACAAAGGAAGAAAACTTCATACCAGTCTAGTGTTCCAAGTCGGTTGCTGCTCAGGAGATGAACAGGTGGTCACAGTTCCTGAGTGGATGGTACAGCCTGTCCTCTACAGGTCAGAAGGGAAATGGAAAAAGGGCATAAAGTAACTCTCCTGGTGTGCACACAGCTTCCAGGTGTTCTCTTTACGAAACCCACCCTATCTTTAAGTACTACATAATCCTAATTTTTCTCACTCCAAGTATTACTAAACATTGTAAGTATTACTAAAATCTGTATGCTCCTATATGTATTCTGTATCCTCACAAACACATGCTCATATTTATTATACTTCTGGCAATCACTCACTTGAGATTCCCAAGAAAGAGCTACACCTCAAAGCATCCCTGCATTCTTTTTTTTTTTTTTGGTACCGGGGATTGAACTCAGATCCTTGCGCTTGCGCAGCAGGAGGCAAAACCATTGAGCTAAATACCCGGCCTCCTGCATTCTTTTTTGTTTTTCCCCCTGATACTAGGGATTAAACCCAGGGCCTTCACACACAGCTATATCCTTTTTTTATTTTGAGGCAAAGTCATGCAAAGTCACTAAGAAGTCCAGGCTGGGTTTGAACCTGGAATCCTTCTGCCTCAGACTCAGCGTGTGCCACCATATCTGGCTTCCTTGCATTCTCTGAGTTTGTATGTTTGGAAAGATGCTGTCTGAACTGAAAATGGCTTAACTACCTCGAGGCAAGAGGGAATGGGGTGAGACAAAGAGGGAGAGAATGAGAGCAGTGCTGCAGAACAAAGGGTTAGAGCCAAAGGGAACCCTAGAGAAAATCTGATTCAATCTTGTCACACTGATGAAGGGATTGCCAAACCACAGGGAGGTGACATTACTCACTCAAGTAACTGAGCCAGGCTTCCTGGCTGCCGTATATGTGCATGCACACATGTGTGAGTTCGTGTGTATGTGTGCATGCAGGTGCACCTGTGTGTGTGTGTGTTACCTCTTGTGTGTGCATTGCAACTTGTCCTCTGGCTATGGTGGCTGCGCTCGAGTGATCATCTACTGTTGCTTTAATCATCCATTGAGACCTCCTCGTGGTGCAGGCTCCACCTGGGGATGGGCTGAGGAACGGCCAGTTCTGTACTTGCTGAAGGAAGGAGATGTGTCCAGTCCTCCTGATCACGCCCTAAGCCCTCTGATTCCCTCCAAGTTTCTTCTCATCCCTCGCCAAGCCCCGGTACTGAATATTTCAAAAAAAGAATATTCAGAGGGGATTTGAAAAGACCACTCATGCTTTCATATTTCTCCAGATGTCTTGCTTTGAGTTTGTATTTCTTTTGTAATCAGAAAAAAGGCAATACTGATACATTTTTCATTTCCATTATTGCATGTCAACTGGACATCTCAAAATCAGTTTGATCATATAGATTGGTAAATGTACCTTTAAAATTCAAGGCAAAGATTAAGATCCCCAAAAGGCTATTTTCTCTTCTAGTATTATTCTGACGTGACCCTGAAGTGACACGTAGGACAGCATGCCCAGAGTGCTGCAAACCTTCTGCTCCTCCTCTGCTGCCCCTCCACCACCACCACTGACCTGGGGACAGGGGGAGGGGAAGACCAGGGTCACAATCTACAGGCTGTGGCCTCGGGAATGCAGCCTCACCAGCTTTTGACGCATGGATGCCTGAGCTACGCCTGGATGGGGCCCGCTGGAAGTCGGAGTGAAGGATGTCGGGACCCCAGGGCCTCCTCATCCAGGAGCACATGGCAGGCTGCAGTTGGGGAAAAGACTCTCCTCTCTACTCCCCAGGACTGCTCCCTCCCCTTACTTCCTTTCTTTATCCTTCTCTTCTCTCATTCCCTGCGATTTTCCCAGTAAAAGTCTCCTGAGGACGCCAACATCCAACCAATCTCCGGGCAGCAACACAGACACCTCAGGCTGATCTGAGCATCCCTCCTAGGAAGGGAAATCCTTGACCTCGTGTGTCTCCAAAGCCCCTGGTCTAGTTTGTCTTCCCAATCTGCCCCCTGAAGGGCCCCCTGGGGTAACGTGTCTGCAACGTGTTCCGTGTATTTTCCCACCCTCTCTTGTTGGTTCACAGTGGTCTCTCACAGCCGTCCCTCAGGAGTCCCTAACTCATGATGTGGCACTTACACCCCACACACCTCAGCCTCATCCTGACCCCAGGAGAAAGTGCATTTACACGTCAGAAGTCAACAAGCAAAGCTCTTAGGCTAGGATCCCAGTAGATAAACTACCTTCATTTTCCTTGTACAAAAACCTCTTTCTAAATCCTAGTGTTCCCTTTCACCAGATGAGTTGGATTTCTACATTTTCTGTACACTTTTCTTCAAATATCCCAGGCTCTGGCCCTGGCTCCTTGAATCACAACACAGTGGGGGACGAGTGCCAACCGCCTGCCCACGAGTCTGCCTGTCCCCAAACCCAGGGCTCCGCCTGCCTGATCCCAGGAGCCAACCCAGTTTCACCTGACTTAGAACTCACTGGTAAACTTTAGGGCGCTTGTGGGTTAATCAAAATCTGCCCACTCTGTTTTATGATATGGGTCCCAAATAGTTCAAATAACTTCAACACTAAAAAATCTGATTACAGTTTTATTTAATTTAGCTCTCTTTAGAGGTTTGGGTAGGGAAAATGTCTTAGATTGCACAGCTGGACTCTGACGCCAGCTACCTAGCAACTGTCAAAATACAAACCAAACCACAAAGGTGTTCGAAGCTGGGTGGTGAGAGCCTGCTCCACGAGAGACGCTGCCAACGCTCCCACCTGGCACAAGGCGCAGCCCTCGGCCTGGACATGGGAGCGGGCCGTGTTTGAGGCCTGCGAGGCTGAAGAATCCACCTCGAGCTACTCAGGATACAGCATAAATGCTAGCTGGAGCCAACACGTAGAATATCCACGTTTTGGCAAGAAGAGGAAAATTATTAACTCCAGTTCCTACAAAGGTCAGCATCAGCAGGGACATGGTCTACACCAAGATCCAAATATCCGTGTCCCTTGGGTGCTTAATCCCATTCTTGAGAATCATGCTGCAGAGTCTGTTTGGAAAGGGGTTAAGGTCATTTCTGACTGTGCAGCAGGAGATCTCAGCTACCTTTCTGCCTGCCAGAGGTGAAGTGAAAGCCATTCTCACTACGAAAATAAAAACATCCACCATGTGAAAGACCCGCTAGAACAGTTCACAGTGTCCGCCTCTGGGGTGCTGAGGACCTGGGGCTCTAGTATTCATTCTACACTCTTCTATTTTACATCGTTGTAACTTTCTGGCTCACTCGCTTGTTTTTACAGTACTAAAATAAGTACTAAGAAATAAAGTGACTTGAAGGGTGACCAGGTTTAAGATGAGATTATCTCCCCGGGCCGGGAATGGGAACATATTTACGGCAGAGCCTGCAGAAAAGCACAAGCTCCTCAGGCAAGCACTCCTCCCCCGCGTCCTTGCTGACCATATTTAAGAAATACAGCATTTTTCACCGAGACTCCTGAGAAAATAAACTGCAGTTCTATTTTGAGATTCAAAGTACATACCATTCAAGCAGAGTGAAGAATGCACACTGGTCCATGACCCAGCCCCACTACTTCATGGCCAGAAAATGTGGAAAAGAAACCCTGAATCTCACGTCTGCCACACAGCAGGCAATGCCCAGGCCTTTCCCTGAGGAACCCGAGTTGCCCTGCAGGGCTCTGCCCTCCACCAGGTGCCCTGGGCTCTGACACCTGTGCTGGTCCTCGCCTTCTACCCACTTATCCCAGTGCTCACGCTGCTCGCCTCTGACCCATGGCAAATTAAATTAGGAAGCAGTGACTGAATTGCCAGGCATTCCTCCATCACCGCGCTCGAGCACGCATGTGCGCGCGCACACACACACACACACACACACACACACACACACACACGCATGCATAAAGTGAGCTATTCTGCTTTCATTTTAGTCATCTTACAGGTCTTTTACATTTTGCTCTTTACTGGATTTAACTGCCCACCTCTCGAGGTCCAGGGGATTCCACCTTCTCACCCTTTCAGCCCCAGTACTCAGCACAGAGCAGGCCCTCCATAAATGGGTTTTCAGGTATGAAAGAATCCCACTCAGAATGGTTCCTACGCTGAGCTTTCTGAACACACTCTCCAGGTGCAGGGTGCTCGTTCCAGTCTTCGCTGTACACCCGCTCTCCGGACACGCTCACCCCATGCTTCTGCTCCCTGAGTCCTCTGCCCTACATCTCCCCACTCCCTCTCCATCCCTGCGGTACCCACTGTTTCATTCTTTATCTCTGTGAATTTGAGCTCTTTTTCCCCACATGTAGTGAGATCTTGGGTAGCACTTTTCTTTCTGGGCCTGGCTTATGTCACTCAGCATAACATTCTCCAGCTCCACCCATACTGTGACAAAAGGCTGAATAATAACCTATTCAATTGTTAAATAAGTACATTGTAGCTGCCCTTGATACAATATAACCATGTGAGATAACAGATATGTTAATGTTTCATTTTAGTATCTATTTTACTATCTATATAGCACCTTGTTGTAAACTTCAAGTATACACAATAAAATTTATTCTAAAAAACTACACTTCTGGTCATCCCAACATTCAGGGAGAAACTCAAATAGCAGCTCCTCTCCCACTATTAAGAGTTTTCCCTGGGCATTTGATTGGCCATTCCCTAATCTACACAGAGGCACTTAAAATATAACTTGTCTTCATAATTATAATGATTTGTGTATAAATCTAACTGTCCAGTCCTGATTGTTTCCTCTTAACTAATCTTTTAATTCCTGTTCCAAGGGCCATGTAGAGAACCAAGCATGGTGCTGCCGCCTGTAATTCCAGCATTCCCGAAGCTGAGGCAAGAAGATTGCAGAGAGTTCAAGGCCAGCCTGGGCAACATAGTGAGACCTTGTCTCAAAAAGACAAAATAATAATAATAATAAACCACAAAAAAGTGCCATGTAGACACATAATCCTTCAAATGGCTACAACAAAAAGGCACCCTTGCTGGAGAGGTAGAAAACATCACCACCTATGTATTATGAGGGAGTGGTACTCAGAATTTAAGGATGGAGCAGTAATGACAGATGTTTATCTAAAGGAAACTTGAGGGGCTTTTGGCTAATTTTTTTTTAGAAATCAAGTGTACAATATTTTTTGTTGTGCATATACATATCACATCTTTTTTTTTTTTTTTTTGGATATGGGTATAGAACTCAGGACCTTGCACTTCAGCACCACTGAGTTAAATCCCCAGCCCTACATCTTAATCCTTTTTTCTCCCTTTCCCTTCTTCTCCCTCCACCCCTAGGTCCCCTTTCCATCTACAAAGAGTCTACCTCCCTGTTTCCTACCATCTGCCTTTTATTTTGCTCTTTTATTCTTTTTTACAAGAACATCAAAGAAAGTATTTTTACAGGCCCTGTGCTACAGCACAAGGATCCAGTACACAAGAGGGAGCCCTCGTAGACCAAACCCAAGCAGCTCCTGGAAAGTGGCACTTATGTAGCAGCTTGCAGCCTGTTTCAGTAAGGGTGAGGGCCGAAACCAGGGGATCTTCCAGAAGGCTTGCCGTGAAAGCTGGGTATGCAAATAAGGGGCCCAGATCCCTCCCTTCCTGATCTGAGCTACTTCCAGGAACCCTCTCTGTTGTCTAAATTCTCATATAAGAGAAATTATGTAATATTTAACCTGCATCTGATTTATTTTGTTTAACATTATGGTCTCAAGGTGCATTCGTTTTCCTACAAATCACTCACATTTATCCTTTTTTATTGTACAGTATTACTCCATTGTGTATAAATATCACATTTTTTTGATCCATTCATTTGTTGATGGACATATAGTTCCTTTCCAAGATTTAGCTATTACGAGTTGTGTTGCTATAAGCATGGGTGTGCATGGATCACTGGAGACTTGGGTTGTAAACAACTGAGAAGTACTGCTTTGGCATTCTGTTGCCCAGAATACTAATTGAAATTTCCAAGAAAAGGCCTACCACATCCTCATTCCCTCTAATTCCACACCAGTGAATCTGTCTTTTCTCGCCAGGCTCCCTTACTTGCTCTTCCATGAACAAGGCTTCCACCCCTTCATGTCTAAAACCATTTTCTTTGTTCATTTATCTCATTTCTCACAGTTTCAAAGTCTAGCTCAAAACTGCTATCTCCCTTCCTAGTCTACTTATGGGAAAGGCTCTCTGGCCTTTTCTCCTACCCTTCCCCAAC